CGCATGCTCTAGAAGTCAAGGTCATTAAAGTCCGCGGGAGCAGGAGCAGCGAGGGTCCGGAGAGTTCTTTCAGCGAGTTCATCTCACGCGGACCGTTGTGTTGGGACAGTGAACAAAGTTTCATTTCTGGATTTGGTTCCTGAGTTCCTGTTAATCGTCGGGAGGAGTTGTGGACCGTTTGGCGGTCACGTCTCCTTTTTCGATTCGACGCCACGTCATCGAGGGCGGAATCGATTGTGTCGCGTTGCATTTCGTCCCCACGTCATTCATTATTCAGGTACTTTGCAGTAGAAAATCTTACAAGTACAATAATGTTTTTTCCACGTCAGAATGAATGGACTCCCGGCGCATGACGCGATTCCCAACGCCCTCGACCCGGAACCCCCGCATCCCATTAACGCCTTTGAGCCCCTCGCAATCGCGTTCCGCTCGCCTTCGAGAAGGAAAGCAGGCGAAAGAGGCTTCTGGGCCGATTCGCGACTTCTATCCTTTCTGTCTCGAGACCAAGGCCATCCAAAGTGCTCGCGTTCCTGGCAGCCCGGAGGGGTCTCAGGCATGCGAAGGTGCGTGAAGGACTGTGCGGCTGAACCCCAGCCGCCTTTCCTCATAGCAACCGCTGTGGTTCTCTTTTCTTTAGGCGTTATATCGAACATTTATTTACTAGCCTTTTTTATTTATGGTCGCGCCTTCGGCGCTCCATTACCTTGGACTTCAGGAGCTTGATATAAACCACAATCTAGATTGTCCCATGCCACAAAATACCTAAAACCCACTTCAAACTCATAAATAATATTCGGTTGCAAATGAAAGTCTTGCAACACTCAATGATGATACGAAATGGCAAACACGTATTTAAAGTACGTCACCATTGAATACGGGGCAAAAGTCCTCATTTTTTTAAATCAAAATAATTACTTATATTATTTCTGGTGTGCCTAACTTGAAATCTTTTCATGTGAAATTTTTTGTAAGGGTGGAGAATACATTTTGCAGTGCTTCCCTCCTATAATCTACGCTGATGGGACATATTTCATAAGTAGGATTTTTCCTGTACTCAGCCATCAAACAGGTACTTCTGAGGGAAGTTTACATTTTCTGTATGTTTCTTTGGATCAAAAAAATATTCAGGAAAATGGGACTGAAAAAAGTGCACTGATATGTTTTAATGCAACTTTTTTTTCTTTTGAAATGTAGACTCAGGGAACTCCTTGCCACCCCGTTTCAACCTTATACCTTTTGCGGGCGGAAAAAAAAAATATTTGGAAAAGCGACCCACCCAAAAGCTGTGCTCTAAGGAAACGCAAAAAAGTTGAATTTTTCCTCAAATCAACATCACGTCCGTTATGCGTGCGTAAGCTACTTTTCTGTTTCTGCCCGATTCGGTAATCGTCCCTTGAAGTCCTAACCCCGCTGGACCCCTGGAAAAGAGCTTGGCAATGTAGGAGGTACTCTTAATAAGGATGCCTAAATCGTCGTGTTGGACAATTACGCATGCTCGATGTGGTGTAATATAAGTCCCGCGCGCTCAGAGAGTGTGGGGTAGAGAGTAGCAGCAGCGCAGTTGTCGGACGAGAGCCGAGAGTGTGTGGCATCGCGAGTACAGTTGAGGACTGTCGCGGGACATGTGTTGAACACCCGAGACGCGGGACATGTGTTGGACACCCGAGCGGGTTGGGAGTGAGTGCTGGAAGTCTTTACATCGCACACTAACATCCATTCAGGTATTGATCCGTTTGTATTCCTTGTTCATTGATCACCTGATGCAATAGATTCCAAAACTATTCTAAATATCCCTATTCTGATCCCTACTGCTATTGATCTCACCCAGTACTGGTTATCTCAATAAATGCACTGTGTTACAAACGAGGAGTCAACGGAATCATTATAATCTCGGACACGCTGGTGGTCCGTTCGTGAGTCATTAATGTTAATTCACCTCGGAGCCGCCTACACCTTTGCTAAGAAACCACTGACAGAAACACAAAAAATCAATGAAGGTTTAACGACTTCGTTGCAAAGAGACATACCAGGAAAAGAAAGACCTACACAAAACGTTTCTTCGCTTGGACAGTTTTGGCTGGGGAACCATTACCGACCATGAGAATGATGAACTTAAGCAATAAGACGCCTGTACCAGGAAGGGGAATGACATAAGTCAGTCACCATAATCCAGTCAGTAATTATAATTCATGAATCGATATATATGCCTCACTTGCGGGGTGATGGTGAAATAATTTTACATTTTCTGGGAGGTGCAACAGAGAGATTATCTCTATTTCTGAATTTCTTGAAGCCTGGATGAATTTGAATACATTCCTATATCTCTCACTACTCGCCATTTCTAGTGTAGAGGACTTGAAATGGAATGTCTCGGTGGGGGAAGGGAAGTTTGAAAACCACTCCATTCTTCGCGGAACAAAAGATCCAATGCCTACAGCGTTTGTGCTTCCCTAGGTGGCACATGGCTTCATGTTGCTTCAAGGCCAGGAGGAAATTTCATTACTTTCATTTATGGATCATATTAATATTTGCGAAAATGAACGATCAAAGGCATGAGCCTACTATTGAAAATCATCATTGAGTGTTGCAAGACTTTCATTTGCAACCGAATATTATTTATGAGTTTGAAGTGGGTTTTAGGTATTTTGTGGCATGGGACAATCTAGATTGTGGTTTATATCAAGCTCCTGAAGTCCATAATGTCATATGATCCTCGTGCAATCTTGATTCCTTTTCTGATAGGTAGTTCAATGTGCAGATGGCGAAAAGGTATTATGACAGACTGGGCGTAAATGAAAATGCCTCAGGGGATGAAATCGTTTTGGAGCAAAGAAGCGTATCATGGAGGTACTTGAGGCTTACCAGGTGGTGTGTGACAATGAGAAAAGAAAGAAACATGACAAACACGGAGAGAAGGCATTCCAGAGTAGGTTCTCTGATGGAGGTGGTGGACGAGGATCTGGGTACACATGGGCTGAATATCAAAGAACATCTGCGCAATCCTCCGGCTTTCGCAGTCCCTTTGAAGCCTTCTTTAGCTCGGATAAGCCCGGTGAAGGGGCTTCTAATTTTCCCAGTTATGAGGATGTTGATAACCTTTCGGATTCATTTGGTTTCCGTGGATCTCGTTTTGGTGACTATGATTCAGCCTCACGTCATTCATCCTCTACGGGAAGTGCAAACCAGGGCCAATCCAAACAAAAAAGTCAAGATCCTCCAATTGAACACGATCTATATGTTACCCTGGAGGAACTCTATAAAGGCTGTAAGAAAAGCATGAAGATCACTCGAAATATAACAGAGATAGATGGAAAGACGAAGCAGGAATCCAAGGTCCTCATCGTCAACGTCAAGCCAGGCTGTGAATCCGGTACAAGCACTTTCGAAGGAGAAGGAGATCGAGATTCGCGTAGGAATCCAGTAGATGTAGTGTTCATCATTCGGGATAAGTCTCATCCCCTCTTCAAGCGAGCCAGAGCTGAAGCTATCTTGCAAATTTGTGAGTAGCTGACTGACTAGCAAAAGTCGCCATTCACATCCTGAGTTCAGGAAAAATTCTACTTTAGTGATACATGCTATAGAGGAACATAGTTTCAATTAGTTCTCTTTGCTTCAATCAAACGGAGACACACGGAAAGCTGAAAACTGCCAAGATCGTGACAGCTGACAGTGCTCTCAGATAAATGTCAAATTTCCAAAATGTTGGATTTTCGGACGGGGATACTTCTTATGGTCATTATGTTTTCAAAGAAACGTTAATGTCCTCGGGCAGAATTAGAAAAGTAACAGTTGGTGCACGCATAACGGACATGATGTTGATTTAGGGAAAAATTCAACTTTTCCTTTGCATCTCCTCAGAGCACAGTTTTTTGGTGAGTCGCTTTTACAAATACATTTTTTCATCGCCAGTAAAAAGGGGAAATGTATAAGCATGAACTAGGTGGCATGGAGTTCCTTGAATCTAAATTTTAGAAGGGAAAAAAATACCGTTAAAACCCATCAGAGCACTTTTTCAAAGTCACATTTTCCTGAATTTTTTTTGATTCAAGGAAACAGATACAGAAAACTTAAAATTCCCTCAGAAGGACCTATTTGATGACTGAATACAGGAAAAATCCTATTTTTGAAATATGGCTTGTTAGCGTAGATTATAGAAGAGAATACTGCAAAATGTATTATTCACCCTTAGAAAAAGGGACACGTGAAAAGATCTAATGTTAGGCATACTATAAATAATAGAAATAAAGATTTTACCTTAAAAAAGTAAGACTTTCGTCCCCATATGTTACGTATTTCAATCGGGACGTACTTTAAATACGTATTTGCCATTTCGCAATGAATGAATGAAATAATCACTATCAAAGGTAATGGACCGACGAATTCGCGACCCAAGCGTGCTTGTAGTACGCGAAGGGCAAACAAACTCGCTAGTAGGCAAAATGTCGGAAAAAAGTGCTCTTAAGGAATTCACCCCATCGATTGAATTATTTGGTGAATTCAAACTTTTGAAGGGTATTCTCATTTTCCAACTTAACAAATTGATCTGCTATAGTTTAGAGCTGTTTCCCCTCAGTAAAAGTGTGAAGAGGATGTATGAAAATCATGGCAGATCCCGGTATAAATGTGTCTTTTTTTCAATTGGGAAATGATGCAGTGCTATCAGGCCCTACTGTAAAAGCTGTTGTTTTCTAGGGTGAAAGGTGTCCTTTGTATTCTCCTCTGGAAATAGAAGGAACTGTCTTCAATGTGAGAAGGATTCAAGACACGACATGCTTATTGATGAATGCAAGATAGGTATAATCACAGGCGTAATTGGGAGCATTGATGGTTCCATCATCCTTTTAATGAGAGAGTTCTTGTGCGAAACATCCCTTTTCATGAACCCCATTGATCTCAATCTCAATCATGGAGGATAGTGGACACCTGTGCTATTGTGTTCCGTGTAATATGAAGGATGACTGGAATATGCATGAGCAGATCTCTCCTTGTCTACAGTGATTGTTGAGGCATTGCAACTGTCTCTTTAAAATCATCATATCTGAGTGGAGACGGTGCAAGTTCATAATGGATGCCTAAAAGTCCGCTTTTTCATGTTTCTGATTATAAATGTTTCCTGTTATATTTATTCAAGACATGAAACCAACGCTCATTATAAACTCTTGGACTGTAATGGCTGTTATGCTGTCGCGAGTTCCTGCCGACGATCAAAGTTCACATTCAAAACAGAACTAGTAAAAAAAGAAGGCTCCTATTGACTTTAAGCACGTTTTCTGAAGAATGACGCGAAAATGGAACAGTTTCGGAATCAGAACGGAATGTATCATTAATACTTCAAGCTCCGACTTCTCTTAATGCAATAGTGAACCACCACCGTTGTTAGACTGCTGCGGCACAAGGTTTGCCGTCGACACGAACGCAAAGCAATAGTAAAATTGGTTCGAAAATCATACTTCGAGATGCATACCGTGAATGCTATGAGCAGGATAGATTTTAGCCATACCTTCGTCCAATAATTATACATGTTCGAATAATGAAGTAGGGCGAGAGGCATTTTTTGAAGAGTTTCCCCCATTCCTCAACACCCCACTCCCCCTCTCGACGGAATTCTCTGAGATTGGGCCAATGCTTCACCCGCTGACTGTCTTCGGGAAAGGCCAACACCTTGATATTTACTTCAAAAGAATCTCAGCCTTTGCTTTATAGACCATGACTGTACATTCTTCTCAAATATGGTGCTTCGTTTGGTCCTTTATTGCTCAAGACATATCGAATCACACAAATAGCTTCCTGTGAGAACGTATAAAAACGCGCATATACCATTTCGGAACTGGTTTTCGAGAATAGTTTATTTTCGAATATCTAAATATCCTTCGTTTCGTCAGATTCGCCCGAACGCATATTTGAAGTTGAAAGAATATTACAAGTTTCACTCTTGAATTAAATGTGAGTCATTCCACGTCAAATGAACACACCACAAATCTTGACTTAATCCCATTTTGACGCTATTTGGACCAAAACATTTACCTTTGAGAAAGTGGAAAGTTCTAAATACTTTTCTCTTCAGTCGCAGATATCTAAAGGAAAAAAGCTCAAAAGATGAGGTAACCTTTGGTACATTTTAGCACCTCAGTACCTAAATGCATTAACTTATTTTCAATGTATAGGGAAGAGCCATCCATTTCTGAAGAGCCACTCATGGCTCTTCAGAAAGGTCTCTTCTTGCCCTTTCTGATAGCATTATATTTGTTAATAATTTATCAAGAAATAAGACGTTGCGAGGAAACCGAAACTCAAACTTATAACGTCAATTTGCAAAAATACAGCCTCTTTGATTTCAATTCACCTCAGCTCACAAATTTACCTCTTTAGCTTAAGCAAAAGCTAAAGGACTGCTCTTTCTGATAATAACATTCTCTGAAGTGTAATCTTAAACAGCAAGATGTAGTCATAAAATAGATGCTTTAAAATTTGAACTCAAATTGCAAAAAGACATAATTATTTCAGTTTAATTTGAATCACATAGCCCGAAAGCGGTAAAACATGAGGATATTGGGATATTCAGAGACTTTCGAGATTTTGACTATTTTTCATGTAAAAGTGAAAAATATCTATTCAGTTGATATGTAAGGCAACCAGTATATTATACCGGCACATACCGCATGAATAACTTGCTTCAGATGCTTACAGCATTCAGATCATTACAGCAGTAAGTGAAATCGGGGTCAATGTCGATTCAAGAATGAGTTTAAGCTAGACTAATATGAACAAGATCATGTCTCAAATAGCACTCCAAAACAGCCAATCAAGAAGCTTTCCATGTTCATCAGTTTAAATGATGCAAACAAATTATATGAAAACATCTCCCTTTGAAAATACTCTAAAACATCAGCCCCAAAAATATCCCCAAGGACATGTATCAAAAATTTTACATATTTCCTGAACTCATCATCTCGGTAGGCACCTCCCTCGGTAGGTTCATGTGTGCCAAATTTCAGATTTCTAACTTTTCTCGAACATGGTTACAATTAGCTTCAGTCAGTAACGATCCCATCCACATCCCCCACAGGGCATGCCTGGCATTCATATGAGAATATGGAATATTTGAATACTGTGAAAAAACGTTTTCCATATTCATCGACGTCGTCCTCAAAGACATTAGCAAGCGTCTCGTAATAGTACTAGCGGCATGTGACCATAACTGCAAGAGTTATATCAAAAGATTTTGCATTACTGTGCAAAAAATCCTCTTTTCGCTTCATTATATGCCTAAATCCTTATTTGGGAAAAAACATTCCAGGTCAAATCAAAAAGCAGTTTATTGAGCACTTTTTAATGCAATTCTTTGATTCTCAGCAAGACAGACTATTATTTTTTCTCAAATGTCTAACAATCCATACTATCCAATCCATATAGGCGATTGTGACTGACGCTAATTCTACCCATGTTCTAGAGAAGTTAGAAATTCGCTCAACTCATAACTCAGAAGTTTCTATTAAGATGAACTTGTTTATAAACATTGGGTCCTACCTCTTTCCTCATCTCTGGGGTATGATTGATCATTCCGCCCCCAGGGGAGGAAAAGACGATTTGGGTACTACGGCATTACGAAGAATTATTACCTTTCCAAAAAAGGTATGTTCATCAGATATTACTTTCCCATGCTTTAGTGTCCCACAACTGTCTGATTCACTGGATTGTAAAATTTATCCGTAACGTCACCACATAACATGTTGAGCCCCTAGTTTATAACTTCCCATACCTGCAGTTTTGCATGGTATACACTTTCATTGCCTTGAAAGTCCTTGACTTCTCAAAATTATGAGGCAAGCAATAAGAATTTATAATACTCATTGATGTAGCATTACAGTATATCCCCAAGGACTTTATTCTATATTCGTTTATTCTATTCATCTTCCACCGTTGCACAAAGGCAAATCTCTTTTGATGAGCAACGGTATCCATGCCTCAGGCAGTAATATCCTTGTCCCATTTGTATCATAATATATTTGATAACATTGGTGGTTCAGTATTTATTGACCTCAGACGTATCAATGAATGGCATGCGTCCCTAAGGATGAAGGATAGACGTGGTGTGGACAGAGGATCCTGCAGGGAATGTGGAGAGTCAGAATGTGCGGAGTACGAGTTGCCTCCTGATGAAAATAAAAATGAATGCGGCTACTGCTTCTGCGCACCAGTCAAACATATTAAAAAAGAGACAAGTCAGATTTTTCAAAGCAGTGGAACTTTTCATCATGACATCCCTGAGGATGAAAAGACTGTTGAGTTAAACCCCACGGGAAACATATCTGATGAGAATGGGAAAAGTGAGTGCCGGTAATTTCATGCATGGCGAAAGGTAGATCATACCTGCAATTCATCATAATTTCTCTTCTTAGCCTTATCAGACCCAGTCCTGGCGATGGTGAGTGCTCTCAATGACCAATCAACTGGACCCGATTCCACAGATGCAACTCAAGAAGACTTGCTCTCAGACCATCATGTCTCATTCAACCCTTCTGCCGGGGTTGATCCAACTTTGAGTCCATTATGCCCACCTCCAGTGCCTCAGGATACATTTTGTCAAAGTCCAGTCACCACTTTCCATAAGAATGACATCAAAGAAATGGTATGCCTATAAGCTTGTAAGTCAATCATTGGGCGTGATATGTTGGTACTAATGTAATTTGTTTCATGAACAAATATATCCGAGCTCAGGACCTGCATTCCTCACCAGATGAGTAATTCCTCTTTGTTAAGCTGAAGATATGAGGGCCACTTGAAAACTTACCTACACGAGTATGAAAGAGGAGAGGTAAAAACTTTTCCTTACCAGCGTTAGATACATTGGCCTATAAGTATTACTTGGTGGGACTAATAGGTCAGTGGCGTTTCTGCTGTGTAGCTTTTCTGCAAATTGAAAATTGTTGAAAGCTGGAGACGAAGGACAAGACGGAGCTGGAGTATCGAGTAGTTATGAAGTTTCTCACAAAATAAGGGATTACACCCAAAGAAGTCGTTGAGGGTTTGAGAAACGTGTATGGCGAAGGTTCTCCTTCCTATTACTGAGTAAAATTTTGGTACAAACAGTTCATGTGAGGGAGGGAGTCTTTAGAGGATGATCCTCGATCAGGTCGCCCAGCATTCCTGGAACCCATCTTGCACTGACCTTTTTCATGCCCAGCTTTTCGTGGAGAATATGCAGCACTCTTTCTTCTGAGAGTCCACGCTCTCTTGAGAGTGGCGACACCTTCACACGTCGATTCTCCATCACTAAACACTCGACTTTTTTTCGCGCATTTCGTCATTTGAAGCTTCTGCTGGGCGATCTGATCGGGGGTCATCCTCTAAAGACTCCCTCCGCCACTTGAATTGTTTGCATGACAATTTTACTCAGTAATAGGAAGGAGAACCTTCGCCATACATGTTTCTCAAACCCTCAAAGACTTCTTTGGGTGAAATCCCTTATTTTGTGAGGAACTTCATAACTGCTCGATATTCCAACTTCGTCCTGTCCATTTCAACAATTGTCAATGTGCAGAAAAGCTACACAGCAGAAACGCCACTGACCTATTACTCCCTCCAAGTAATACTTATAGGCCAATGTGTCTAACGCTGGTAAGGAAAAGTTTTTACCTCTCCTCTTTAATATTCGGGTAGATAACTTTTCAAGCGGCCCTCGTACGTCAGTGTTCGGAGACAATGTTTCTTTAGTGTAGCTTATTTCCTTTTCAAAGCTTGAATCCATGTGCGGAGCTGTTATTTCATTCATTAGTGTAAAAGCCCGTGCGCGCACTGGCTGTAATAAGTCGAATCAGAATGTTTCGTGGATACCTTTATGCTCTTTCTTCGTCAGTTGCACTGTTCCTGGAAGCAGCGTTTTGTGAACGTCGTCATGCATGCATATCCAGTGACCGTAACTCCAGGAGTTCTCTCTTTCTCTCACGTTCAGCAGATCCCGCCGTAGAATAGTTTAAAATTCCCCACATTTTCGGGCATTTTGAGAACGCCAAAATTAAAAAAATAATATTATATTATTGGAGAACCAATTCAAGGCAGCAAACTCACATGAAGCACTGTCTTAAACCGGCGACGGGACTGGTAACGCGACTAAGTATCACATATGATCATTGCCAGCAGTTACCATAGCGACAACTTCCGTTATCGACAATGCCTCATACTATCATTGTTGGTTGTGAGCTCTTCGCCCAAGAAGGCATGCAGTACGATGCTAATCTTATCACGGAAATTAGGCCTCATGATGTGAAAATGGCAGAACTTTTTAAGCTCTCGACCCAATAGTTATTAATACCGCGGTTATGAATACCGCAGTGTTCCTTCAATTGTTTAGTTTGCATCTGGCTCCCCTGCAGGGGTTGTTCAATCGGGCGTGATTTTATCACACCCGAATTGCGAGAGGATCACTCAAGAATATTGACGGATCAGCTTTTTCAGAGGAGGAAAATATCCGTATAGTTATGAATGAAATCACAATGGGGTTCAAATTCCGTGTGGAAAATTGAAGTCCTCCAAAGATGACAATCGAAGGAAGTAGTACTCTCTGGAATACTTCCGATCAGACCGGGGCAGACTGAATGGCACGGCCCCAGTAAGGAATCGAACAATGATACAAAAATATAGAAGCCCACTCATAGCCCTAAACGAATGAAAGTCATGCTGCATGTCGGCAATTGTTATTGGCCCAATGTGGACTTCTAACGTTGCCCCAACTTGGAGATTGATGTTTGGTCAAGGTTGGGCAGCGGGACAGGATTACACGGTACCAACGTGGAACTCACATCGCAAATATGGAATTCCAACATAGGCATGATGTGGATGTCCTGCCTGGGAAGCTACCATATGAATTAACTAGGTGAAAGCAGTGATAATTGTGAACAAATTGGCTATGCTTTTGGAAATAATTTATTGCAAGCAGCCAAAAATCATTTAGCTCAAGAACTGACGCATGAGGTGGTTCTGGCAGCACCTTGTAATGATGATCATGAATTGTGGCTGGTGTGTGGGGATCCATTTTTCTTAACAAATGGGAAACTAACATAATCAACCACCATTGTGGTACTTGATGTTTTCAATTTAGTCAGCATTTCCGTTTAGTTGGATGATGGATGCAGAGCCCCTCTACACTGAGTGGATAATAGAGTGCTGCTCCAATTGAAAAAAGCCTTAAAAAGTTCCGCCTTGGTATTTAGTCCCCACATTAAATTATTCCTAAGCATGACAGTACTTGCTGACACACCAGCCATCAGACAACGACCACCACTCATGATCTTGTCTACAAGGCCCTGTAACTAGAAGCCTTATACGTACGGATCACAATCTTGCTTGACCTTACCTTTGCTCTCACCTAGTAGACATCCCACAAATGGTTTCATGCAAGATTGGAGAGTATAAATTGGGTTTTGGCGGAAGTAAGCAAGGAGAGAAAATAACATTTTGCAAATTATTTCATGTTGCTAAAATAAGTTATCACAATTTTTTGGGCGGCCATCATACTCGTATTTCTGTACGTGCAAGTGCTTTTTGCGCAGTTGCATGCAACCCTTTACGTTTTTCAATGCAGACGCAGGATCTTGTTGATAGTAAATATCGTTGGTTATTCACGCCTTGGGCTGAATAATTGAAATTTCTTTCTAGCTGAGAACAAGTCATCACTCGATTTTCTGCTGCATTGAAAATAAAATTTTAAAGTCCCACTTCACATATTTATGATGTCAACTCATACAGGGGAGTTAAAAGTCACTTTAATTTTATTTTGGTGCCATATACAATATCAATAGGTTCATCTTCTCCCACTCAACAGTTACGTGTCATATACGTTTGAGAAAGCAGATAATTTGCTATAGCCGTAAATAACATTAAGGGACTATGAATATGAAGGACTTCTGAGAAATCCAAGATCACTCACGAGTTGCTGAGTTACTATCGCCGGCGAATTGTCATTGAGCACTGTGAACGAGCTGTTCAATGATGAACTGCTTTACTTCCGGACTGAACGTTCACGTGAAATGTTGAGCAATTGGGATATCAACAGGTTTCGGTTAGGGAGGGTTTGAGTGAGTCATCGAGCAAATGGAACTTACTACTTCACGGTTTTTCGTGGGGGGTTGTTGATGGTGACCTGTGCGATCTAAATCAGGTGAGCGACTCAGGTGAGGGGTCAGGATGAACTGTTTTGCGCTGTTTCTCATTAATAACGAGCAGGGTTCGGAGAGCATTGAATGATCAGCCGATGAGCTCGAGAGATGAGCTCCAGTGACTGCTTTTTAAGGGCAGAGATTTATTGATCTTGGAGAGGGTTCAGTTCCAGAAGTGATGCACAACAATCCTGTTGTGCTGGTATTAGGGGGTTTTGCTAGTAACCAAATTCGCACTTAAGGAGGTAATGCGTTAAAACACCATGAGTAAAACAAGAAACCAATTCCACGATAACCCAATATTGAATTTGGTTCATGGCTAAGTCTTTGTCCTTGAGTTTCTCTTGATATTCCGTGATGGGACAATGCCATTTCGCAGTCTCTTGCACCTTGTATATAGATTCACAGTCATCTTCTAGGACTGCTTGCAACGAGGGGTGACTACAATGTTCTGAGCCTCAGTAGGAATGACTTTTTTATATTCAACTTTTATGATTTTTCAACATAGTCAACCTTGAGATCGATGCTCTTGGTCCAAGCTTGGTCCATATAAGCTAAATATTGGCTCCTCAAATATTGCCATTCCATCATCGATCCAATATTGGACAGACGCGATGACCCAATGTGCCCGACTGCAATTATAAGTTTTTGGGAAAGGTTGGGGTATAGGTAGGTTTCCCACAGTGCTGTTCACAGAAGTGGCTTTCCCTCTTTCCCTGTAATCGTCCCTCAGAGGAGTGTTTATCACTTCGCCATATGCCTAGTCTCGTTATATCAATCAACAAACTCGGACACTTCATTATTTGTTATCCTCGTATTGGAGAAAAAATCATGGAGCCCCGGCTATAAACAAGCTCACATTCCCTATGAGAACTCTGCGAAAGTAGGGTCCCCCTATCCGAGTGCATGGAAAATATCCGCGGGCACAATCCTACGTTTCCTCATCCTGAGGGTATAACGAGGAAACGACGGCTAAATTCGCAGATGCTCCGTGAAACAGTAAGAAGTGGACCTTTCCTTGAAATGTAATACAATTAGTACATTCAGTGGAATATAAACCTCTGTACTGTTCTATGTCTCCTGCCTATCCATGAGACAGACATGTGCATGGGCAGGGGGTTGTACTAGTACAGGCCGTACTAGTACTGCAGATAGAAATGCCTTTACTAGGGGAATACCTCCACTAGATAAAGAATTGAGAGCAAATATTAACGCCAATATTTTATGGAGTATATGTGGAGTAATACCAGGTGTCATACCGACTGCTTGGTTATGAAGACCAATGGTATGTACACGTTGTGGACGGAAATACCAAGATTGTAACTATTACCGGCCTTATTCCCAAGGAAAATATGTCTGTGAGGTTAGTTTCAACCAATTTCCTTAATTCTGCCCAACTAAACCATGTGTGATGACAAGGAATTTCGCAATCGCTTTGTTGACGTTGTTTACCACGTTGAAGATGTTGCTTGTATACTCTGAATTGCATTACATTTTTCTTACCGGTCTCCTGTAGCAGGTCCAAAGGGTTGGTTCTGATGGAGTCAGCGAGTATAGTGCTGAGAGTGAGCCCATCCACACGAGCCCTCATCAAACAAATCGGCTCGTGGCTGAAGGTAATCAATACTAATTATCATTTCGACATATTTCCAATGAATTTTAGCTTCCTATGCTCCACATTGTTGCAAGAGGTATGTTTTTTTAATAGAAAAACTTAAATGACAGTGAATGAAAATACGCATATCTGAAAGGGGGTATAAAAGGGCCGCGCGAGAGAGTGAGAAGGGGTTTGCTCATTCAGTACCTTATTCCTATTTATAATACCAAGCATCAATCATAACTAGGGGGGCGGAGGGATTTTATAGAAAAGTAATTCACCAAAAGATCCGTTTCGCAGGAATCTCAGTTAGCAAAATAACTGGTTCTAGTCAAGGAGGCTCGTTTGGAAGAAAATGTTTTCCCAGGCAAAACATATGAACACTGGCCGAGCTGAATATCCTTATTCAGATCTGGCAGCTTCAAGACAGGACACTCTGTTAAGTACAGCTGTAGCTGTGCCTTGCACTTGTATCATCGTTAATGGAACTTGCGACTTCCACGTTTTATCATAATCCGTGACCATGTGACCATTCAACGCAAACGAAAAAATGAATATTTGCATTGTACTAGCGAGTTTGTTTGCCCTTCGGGCAAAGAAACTCGCTATGGTTGCGCCTTCGGCGCTCTATTACCTTGGATTCATTCATGTTTTGCGAAATTGGAAACACGTATTTAAAGTACGTCCCCATTGAAATACGTGACTTTTGGGGACGAAAATCTTGATTTTTATCAAAGTCATATGCTTCATGATATCTAGTGTGTCTAACTTGAAATATTTTGTGTCCCTTTTTGTAAGGTTGGGGAATACATTTTGAAATACTTCCCTGCAATAATCTACGCTGAGGAGATATGTTTCAAAATTAGGATTTTTCTTATACTCAGCCTTCCAACAGGTACTTCTGATGGAAGTTTAAATTGTATGCTTATGTTTCTATGCATCAAGAAAAAATCAGTAAAATGGTCCTAAACAAAAAGTGCCCTGATGGGTTGGAACAATAATTTTTTAAATTCTAAAATGTAGACACAGGGAACTCCATGACACCCAGTTTCAGCCTTATACCTTTCCCCTTTTTGCTGGCGAAAAAATAAGGAATTTGGAAAAGCGACCCACCCAAAAGCTGTGCTCTAAGGAGACGCATAAAAAATGTTTCATTTTTCCTTAAATGAACATCATGTCAGAATTCGTGCGCCAGCTACTTTTCTATGTGCGCCCGGTAAACTACATGCCCACGAAGTTTCAATATTATACGAGGTGTGGCTATTATGTTTCCAGACCGGTTTTATTGCTGAACTTTGAGAGAGAGGAGGGGAGTGGGGCTATGGCAGTAACATGATAAAAGTAAAAAATACAAAAATAAAGTCTGGAAACTTAATAGCCACACCTCGTACGTTTGCCCTTTTCTCTGATGAAAAAAATGCTTGGAAAATCCGACCAATCCAAAAGTTATACCCTGAGGTGATGCCCAATAAAAACTGAGTACTCCTTCAGCTCAGCAATATGTCACATATACTTGTGCCAAGTTTCACCCTTTTATTTCTGTCCAATTCGCCATTACAATTTTCTTTTTTCAAACATCGCTCCGCGAAAAAATTCCCCTAGGGGATGTAGCAAGACAACATTTTTATTTAACTCTTTGTGTCTGTAGTCACATTCATGCAAAGTTTCAGCTTTCCATATTCATCAGTTCAACTGAGGGAAAAAAATTATATGAAAACATCTTTTGAAATTTGTACCCCCAGGGCATTTACTTCAGAAGTCCGAAGTTTTATGCAGCATCCCAATAAGTAGTTATGTACCAAGTTTCATCTTTCCACACTAGCGCAATACGCCAGGATAAAAAAATACATGAACACGTCGGCTCACAAAAATATGCCCCCAAGGCACTGAACCAAAAATTTTCAATTTTTCCTGAACTCATCGTCTCGGTAGTTACGTTCATGCCAAGTTTCAGTTTTCCATGTCTCTCCGTTTTACTCAAGCAAAAATAATGTTACTGAGGTGGAATGAGTGACGGACATGACGGACATGGAATGCAAAAGAAAAAGCCAAAGGAAAGCCCAGGAATGGCCGGGAATTGAACCCGCACCTTCTGATTGTCAGAGATGCTACCGCTATACCACCGAACCCAACACATCCAGTTGTTTCTCTGAATGTCATCCTCATCTGTCACAAAATATAATTAAGAAAAACGTTTCCCCAAAAAAATGTGTACCGCCAGGGCATGTACCTCCAAAGTCGGATTTTTTCTGAACTTTGCATCCCAAAAGGTACATGTGTACCAAGTTTAAGATTTCTAACCCTTCTAGAACATGATTAGAATTAGCGTAAGTCAGTCAGTCACGATCGTCTATATATATTAGATTAATGGGAGGTGTGTTACATTCAACCAGGAAGACTCGGGGTGGGTTATTGTACTCCCATTTAGCCCTAAAAGACCTTTTAGGTCCAATGCCAGCATTGGACTAAAAGCCCGTTAGTAGGCAAAAGGGAGTACAAGAACCCACCCTTGGCCTTCATTAAATTGTGAAGTGTTCTTGAATGGTGCAGTGGGTAGGTGATGAAGTTACCTATCAAGACATTCCTCTTTAATGCAATTCTTTCTTTGTTCGATTGGAAGTGAGAAGTACTATACTCGGGCACTGCCGCTGCTAAAATTGGCTAAATGTGCTACATAGAAGACGCCAATATGAGAAATCGTAGAGAAAGACTTGCTTTCTCTAGAACGATATCGAAGTCCCGGTACTACAGGGTGATTGGAAAGTCATTCCCTATTTTAAATTTTACTAATTATTGTAAATGTTGGAAAATGATTTCTGCGCAAAAAGCAAGCGAATTCGAAAGGATAATTTAATTGCATTGATTTGTTTGTTTCACTATACTCCTCCTTTTAACAACAACAAAATTTGAAGTTTCGACAACGTGCACAAGTACCTGCACGGTATAACCTTTGGAGGTGAAGGAGGTGGGAAGTTGCATCCAATAGGAATTCACCAACCACCACCTCTGGACCGTAACGGAAGGCTACGGTGTCAGATGTTGAGGTCTTCCATTGCGGTCCTGAGGTGGTAGTGGAAGGAAAATCCCCACCATATACTTTTACTCGTATATACAGTTGGTCTCTGCAGCAGAAAAGTTATCTGCTCTCATTTTACAATAATTCATATGCATTTCTGCATTTGAAATTATATTTACATAACGTGCCGAGAGGTAATTTTGTTATAAACAAAAACTAGCATCCTCACCTATTAAGAGTTTTTCTTGAGAAATAAAATTTGGAAAGCTCTCATAGAGTGCCAAAAACTCCTGAAAAGCGGCACATTTCGCTTTTTCAGGCATACAAATGGAAGATAGGTTCAGGATATTGCAATCCTGCCTTGGACTGCCCAAATATCGAAATTTACAGCTCCTTGAAGCCCTGAGTCTCTCTTGGACGAGTGAGCTGCCAAAAGGAAAAGAAATGCCACCGAAAAGTACAACCTGGGAACACCCACTACCAATTGTTGCATTTATGCAAGAAATAATTGCAACAACGGGAGCTTACCGAGACATGAAACTTCCCTTGCCAACCGAACTTCGTACGAGATGCGAGGAAACTGAAGACGAAGAGGTAATGCATTTTACATTATGGTTTAGAATTGATAATTAAATGTATTGAATATATTCTCACAATTTTGTATAATCAAAATTAAAGAGCATGAACCATAGTGCCTGAAGAAATTAAAATTAAGGATAACCACAAAGCCAATCAGAGATGGTTTTTGCCATGGTAAGCGTCCTCTAGTAAGTTGCACCTCATCCATAACTGATAAAGCATTCAATAAAGTGTCCTGAAATAAAAGCAGTCTCAGGTGAGAAGCAGACAATGCAACAAGTAGATGTACAATAATCTTTTATGTTATTTGCTTTTATGTATTTTACTTTAAAACTGAGTTTATTCAATGTGAGAAACAAACTTAGTGAACGATTTATAAATTAAGAAAATAAATAATATACGGTATAACGGGACAAATATTTAACGCAAATTCTGGAAGCGAGCTAAAGTCACGAAGAACCTATCTTCTTTCGGGAAAAGAAGATACTATGAGATTTTACACGTTCAGAATCACGACAACAAATATTCCATAAAGCACGGATATAAAGTTCATGACCATGAAGAATTAATGGGGAAGGGTCGAAGCCATATTTGCGTGCATGTGCCTCTATAACGTTTATCCACGTCTGTTTCCCAGTTTTGTTTCATTTTTAATCCATTTACCTCTGATTTATGAAATTCGACTCCTTAAAAATCACATCCAGTGGATTTATTTTGTTTATTCGAGGGGTGACAAAAAAGTTCCCGGATTGACTTTTTTTGACGCTGTGGTGACTCTTTCCGACTAATGATGGATATATCCTTCAAAGTAATTCTCTCGGCATCTGCACAAATTCTCCAGTGATTCTTCAGCCGCAGGAATAATTGCTAACTCGGGTTTTTTGGAATCACCAGCGGCGCTCATGACAGCTACAGTAAATGTCCGGAAAATTTCCTTCATTTTTCAGTTTTAGCGGTTTCTGATATACCCCACGATTCCCGTGCTTCATAAACGCTCTAATCGCCGAACTTCTAGTAATTCTGTTTTTGTTCCAAAACGGAGATGTGCTGAAATGAAGAAGATTTCAGGCATTCAAAGCAAAAGTGTAAATGCGACTGGAGCACTGCTGGTGATTCCAAATGTTAGATGTCGCCAATTATTCCAGCGGCTGAAGAAATGTAGATGCTGAGGAGAACTACTTTGAAAACCTTCAGCAGTTGGAAAGAGTCACCACAGCGTCATAAAAAATTCAATCTCGTAGCTTTTTTGATCACCCCTCATATATTTCTTGAGTCTCATGTTCGGCTGATTCCGTCATGAAAATGTATATTTCTCAATATTCTTTCCCGTATTTTCCTATTTGATTCAGTTCATTTAATAACTATTTTTCCTCAATGTTATTGTTGTTCGCAGTAGGGTATGCCTACCTTCAGAAAAAATACGTCGCAGAGTTTCCATGTACGATATTAGAAGATTCTTTATTTCTTCTAAGCATTTCCCATCCAATACTGCTTTCAACATAGACAAAACTCGAATCGTGCCACTAAGTTTAGGGAAACCTGAGAAGCTCCGATTTGTAAGATGCGAATTACAGTCTGAATATTTCGATGCATATGGGTCATATAGATATTTCAACAACATTTACCGTATTTAACATATGCGGCCTCTCATAACACTGAATCGAAAGCTGGATGAATATTGATGATCTTATGTATTAAGTTGATTTAGAGGGCTTGAAATGGGGGGGAACAAAGATAAATAAAATGGCTCTGCATGCTACATTCAGGATGAACATGGTGACCAGGACAATCAAGACCATTTGGACGCCCGTGTGAAAATTCATCCCAGTGATATTCTGACAATAGTCCTCCAGAATTCTGAACCATCCCTTCGCCAACTCTTGCTTGGTCGTCTTTTTCTCATGGGTCATGGGATGCCTGCAGTCCTTCCAGTGTCCCCACTTGCTCGAACTGGGGAACTCAAAGGGAAATATTTAGAGCTGCTTGTCTGGGCTCTTCAAAATATTGATGTGAAGGACTGTGGGCTTTATCATCCTTTAGTTGACTTTAAAGCTCCATTTATTGGCTTCATTCGTGTTGGGAATCTTCGTAATAATCTTTCAAAATCTAAGGTGATTAATGAAGCCTTGTTTGAGAAACACGACGCGTTCTTCCACGCAGACCTGAACCTCGGAGAAGCTAGACGACAAATCAGCAACGGGGTTATCGAAATGGCTTTGGCAAAAATTCATTTGTCCCCTGGAAAAGAGATTAAGGAGTCATATGAAAGTGAAAGTCTAAAACCTGCCTTCATTTTGAATTTGCGGGGAGACGCCGCCATCTATCCTACGCAAGTCCAGCTCCTTGGAAATATCTGCTCGTTTGTCATCCTGTTTCTTGGAAAAGAGACTACACCATCCATTGGCGGAGGTGACCATGCCTTGAGCGAAGTCGTTTCCCATTTGGTCCGCACAAATGGGACAAAAGGAGCTCGTTGCACTGTGTTGAAAGATAAAACACACACATCGCTCAATATCACTCACGTCAAAAGCAGCAATCAAAACGTGAAGTTCGTCAATCTCCAAAAGACTAATCGCCCTCTTAAGGCAGTCCGAGACGAGGTTTGTGAGGAACTAAAAAGAATCAGCGCTTCAAAGTCTCTCAATGACAATACCGATGTCGAAGTACCTTTTTCCTGGATCAATGTGGGTGAAATTCTTGAAAAGGCGAATTCAATTTGTGACGTCCTTCCACGAGTCGCAATTGACATTGATTCAACAATAATCGCTGAATCAAGAACACTTTCAGAAAAATGCGTCAGAGAGTTTGCGAAGAAAGATAAAGGTACCAGAAAAATGGATTGCCTGCCCCTGAGTACGGAAATATTGCCAAGTTACGCAAAAAACGAACACGAGAAAAGAAATCAGAAAGTCTTTGACAATAAAAAAGGGAATGAGCAGCAACAATCACTTCGTTTCAAGCAGGTTCTTCATATCGAAGAACAGCGTGGGATATCGAAAACTCTTCTGGAATTTGAGAAGTCCCTCGGCCGAAGGCCGGCAGAGCAGATCAGAAACTGTCTTTTCTATTTGGGGATGAAGTTGAATAGCTTGAGCACTGAGGCACTGAATCCCTTGCGTGTACAATGGGAGAAAAACTGGGAATTTCTCAATATTTCTGGCAAAGATGATGACATGGAAGAAAGAAAAAAGAAGAAGATGCAACTTGCAGAGGTAGAGAGAAAAATGCTGGAGTCATCTCTGGGCATAGAGAACATTTTTAGAGAGTTCGCTCAAATCTACGAATGCCTCATTGAAACTCCTAATAAAAATAATGTGTCTGGTCTTCCTGGAACAATGGCTTCATTGATATTGGATGGATTGACATTGGAGTTATTAGATGGTGATAATGGATACATCCCTCTGAAATGGTTGAAAGCTATCTTCGACAAAATGAGATGGAGGGTAGGGAAAATTTGGGTGCTCTCAGTCATTGGCATTCAAAGCTCGGGCAAGTCAACAATGCTCAACACAATTTTCGGTTCGGACTTTTTAGCTCGAACGGGAAGGTGTACGAAGGGGGTCTACATGCAGTTTTTCCCCTTTGGAGATGAAAATGAAGGATGTGATTCACCCAGGGATTATTTAGTTCTTCTAGACACGGAGGGATTGAGATCACCCGAATTTTCAGACGATTACTCCGGAAGACGAGATAATGAACTTGCTTCGTTTGCCATTGGAATGGCAGACCTAACTCTCCTCAATGTTATGGGCGAAACGCCATCAGATGTGAAAGAGCTTCTGCCGACCGTCCTCCATGGCTTCATCCGAATGGGCGAGGTCAAACTAGAACCTCAAGTAGCCATCATTCATCAAAATGTGCAAGCAGACGCTCACAGGTCTCGTAAACAAGGTCTGAAAAAAATGCAAGAAGTTCTCGATGAAATGACGGTGGTTGCGGCAAAGGAAGAGGACTTGTTTCCAAAAATCAGCAGGTTCCATGACGTCATCAAATTAAACTTGACAAAGGATACCCACTACTTCCCTCCATTGTTTCAGGCAGGCACACTTAGCATCCACTCTGAGAAATATGGATGCAAAGCAAAACAAATGAAGACGGTCATCTTGGATAAACTGCGCTCCTGCAATGGGAGGGATCTGAACCTCTTCAGTCGACATATGGAGCAATTATGGGGAGCAATTATGAAGGAAAACTTTGCCTTTAGCTTTCGCAATGTCATGGAAATGGCGGCCTACAATGATGTGGAAAGCATTTTGCATGCACTCGTGCACGAAGCAGATGGGCAACTTATGGAGAGGTGGGACAAGTGGAAGGGAGAAATCATGGCTGCAAGCAATGAAACAAAGATTCAGGATGTGTGCCAAAAGGGAAAGAAGGAATTAGATTCCCTGACGGAAAAAGTTTCTGAAGAAAAGATTGCAGAACTGAATGAAAAGATCAACTCATCAGAACGAAAGGACCTTTGCGAAATGTGGCGTGGTAGGAGTACGTCTCAACTCCGCAGCCAAATCGACGCCAAACGAGACCAAATCCGTCAACTTTTTCTTGCGAAGGGAAGACAGCAGTCTGCAATTTTTCATGTAGAAAATCAAGTCTCCAAATTAATAATGAAAATGGAAAAGCAAATTGAGGAACATGGGAAGGACGAAAGTGGGGCCTTTGACATGGTATGGAAAGAATGGGAAGATGAATTGAGAAAGGCAATGCATCTAAATAGAGATAGCATGGACACGGAAGAGACCTTGTTGGAAAAAATAAAAATGGAACTGCGAAACGTTATTGAGGAAAGGTATTTCAAGGAAATTTTTGAAGGCTTGGAGGTGAGAACCGAAGGAACGAAGGGGACAAAGGGATTTTTTGGAAAATTTTTTGCTATTTTCTCTTCCCATAAGGAAGCCCGACGTAAGGAACGATTTGAAGAATTAGCAGAAATGTGTTTGAAAAAATTGGACATCAAGTCCATGGCAGAAGCATATGCAAAAGATGACTGTATGAAGTACGTTCTGCATCAAATATACGAGCTTGCGAAGAGAGCGGCAGAAAAGGAAGATCGCCCAGGGCTGATGGCGGTAAAGGTTCTGATGTATGCATGTCGAGAGAGCATTCCACACTTATTGCAGAGTCAAAAGAAAGAGCAAGCCAAAGTAGAGAAGAAACTTATTGAGCTGAAGGAACAGTTTCGGGACAAAATTAATGCACAATCTGATTCGGCCAAATTGAAATGGACTGCCAAATGTGTTTTGCAATCCATTTGGAAATCTTTCCATGCATCAGCGTTGCTGCATGCGAAACGACGGTTTTTTGACTTTTTGGGAAAGCAGAGGTTTTTCAAGAATAAGAAGGCGTTCACTGGATATTGTATGCTAAGACTAATTAGAGAAGACGATTATGAGACAACGATGGAGTTTGTCAGGAGCCCTGGTGAGTGGAAGAAAAATTACTTGAAAGAGATGTCCTGCGAGTTCCTTGAAGTAAATCGTCAGCGAGAATTTTTCGATTCCACAAAAATGATGAAAGAGTTTTGTCATGAAACCATCGAGAGCTTCCTAAAATTCCTTGATGAACCCGGCTTGAATTCTGTTCATTTGGATCGCTTCATTGAAATGATCAATGTACGCCTAAAATTGGCACATCCCATCAAGCTTCAATCAATCGTTCGTAGTTCTTGCTCTATTATTTACAATAGTAATGAGTTCATTCAGAATTTGAGGAACTTTGTGGCCGAAAAAAAGGGGGACATTTTGGAATTTGAGCAAGTGGATCTGCTCTCTGATGATGAAGAATCACCCATCCGTCGCCTCCAGAAGAACTTATTGGGTTGCCTTAATCGATGTCCATTTTGCGGGACTGAATGCGAGCAAACTTTTGAGAATCACATTCAACGCGAACAAAGTAACTCAGTCACTCTTCATGGCACGGAAATTCACATCCCCCAGTGCATGGGACGGTATCGATGGTTGAAAACGGAAGAAATGGTATTGGAGACGTGTCCTGAATCCGTAGGTAGTGAGACGAGCTTCAGAACCTCAGATGAGGAGGAATGGACTCCTTTTAAGAAGTACAAAACCAAATATCCTGATTGGGACATCCCTCCGAAGGAGCAAGACAATTCTCCGCTTTTCTGGAAGCGTTTTATTGGGCGACATTCAGATGCCTTGGCGAAAACATATGGAATGAAGGTTTCCAGTCAACTGCCTCCGGCTTGGAAGCAATACACAACGGAAGAAGTTAGAGCTAACCTCAGGGATCTTTACTTCCTCCATGATGAGGATGAAAAATGAAATTTGGCCACAGACCAAAACACTTCCACCACCACCACCACCACCACCACCGTGGCTGTGGTGTTTGAAGTGTTGCTACTGCACCACTTAGTGTCGCACTGCTATTGACCCTATACACAGGTATATACTTTTAAGAGCACATATATAACAATTTATTGTCTGAGTTCATGCAATAAAAAAAGAATTCTTGAAAGCAACAATTTGGGAAACATGAAATCATTATTTACCGGAAAAGTGAGGAGCATCGAATTTCAAGTAAAATCATCAAGTACTAAATAATGAGGTTTCTTAAAGAAATTCATGCTGGAAACAGGATTTTCAATACGAACTCAAACTCAATTATTATACTATATGATGCATACAGAATAAAGAATAAAAATGTAAATGAGTCACACTCTTGTATCTTGTATCTTGTATCAAGTCCGAAACGTACCATAAGTCTTCAACATCTTGCACCTTCAGATGAGATGTGATGCATGATGCACCTTCCACATTTTCCATGAATAACATTAAAGTTGGGTTTAGCCAAGCTCCACCTGCCATCTCCATAAAATCATCATCTGCCAGATGAGGGATAGACAGAAATTATACATCATTTCTTAATTTTAGATGGCACTTAAAGGCATTCACTCAGTAATCTCCTACATGACATACAGAACTGACCTGGAAGAAGCTATTCTTCATGTTCATGGGGCAGCGTGATATGGTGAATGCATCCCTGCCAAGAAGCATTGGAAGAGGGGTCTTATGCATCCTCTGCTGAGCTCCGAAGGGGCCAGAATTCCTGGAGGTGAGAAAAGGCAAAACCATGTTCCAATGCTTGAGTTAGGTTTGGTAAGGGGGTTTAATATATGACTGACTAAGAATTAGGCTCATCTCCATCCTGAAGAAAATTCCTTATAGAATCCATCCTCCCTTGGGAGCCTTCTCACTGTCCTTCCTTGTGTGTAAGCAGATATTTCCTGGAAGGAAGGAAAAACAGAATGCATGGAAAAAAGAAATAATCATTGACAGTGTTTCTTTGAAGTTTGTCAGCCGTGCATTCTTATTTTTATTACAGCCACCTATTCAAGAATGCAACTCAATGAAACAATCTCTATGGAAAAAAAACGGTTGTTTTGCTTCTTTAGAAGTTTCCCAAAATGCAAATTTTTATTAAAAAAGAGAAAATGTAATATTTCACATAACTGACTGGGAGAAATTTTAATTTATACTTCCTCTGGGATGCGCTCTTGTTGGATCGTCATCCGGTCATTGTTTCTTGATAGAGCCGCTTCATTTCTACAGCTGTTTCACTCGTCAGTCGCTGACTTTTCTCAGTGAGTGTAAACCCCCATAATAGAAGGGATTCACGAAGAACAGATGACGTGCTGTTGATTCCCGACATGGGCTTCCACGATTTGGTATAGCCTCCCATATACCAGTGGATCATCACTGTATTGCCATCTTCTATTGCCTGAACCTCTCCCAACCAAGGACGGGATACCTCATCATATGTTTAGTCGGCTGCAAGCATTACCAGCTGGAGATCTTCAGTGCCACTAAATGCCCTCTGCCTGCGGCTTCCCACCGAACCGATGATAGGCTGTGGAAATAAACACAGTACAATAGATAGTATGGTATACGGGCAATTGCACTGTTGCCTCATCAGACATTGGATGTTTTTTTCTCGTTTCTTGCAAAAAAATCTAACTCAAGCACATGTACAACTTTAAGCACAACTTTTGACTTAGGATCATTACATTAATGATGAAAGAAGAGAAGCCATAGACTTCTCTTTGACATTTCTAATACTCCAATAAAAATGCTCCACAATTCTTCACATTGCCATGGATATGGCCATGCTGATAATGAAGCCAATATGTGCTTCCATACTTGGATTTTATGTATATAAGCATTTTTTCCTGCTCCAGAGGTGTGAGCAACTGGTTCTCCATGCCCCTTAGGAAGTTCAGCATGGTTGGAGTCATTCCTAGTGTGGTCAATGTCTTCTTGTGTTCCACGAGAGTCCCGATGTACTGAGTGGCTTCCTGTAACAAATACACATATCAACTGTTAGAAAGCTGACACATCTTCAAATCATGTATAGGCATACTTCAGGATTTGAAAACTTCACCAGTTCAAGAGTATCGAGGGAGAACATCTTCCATGCTTCAATATTATCCTCTGGCATTCTTGGAAAGTAGTGAGGTATTGAGGATTTTACTTTTTTCAACCCTGCCCTTTCCCAGTCAGGATTTACCAGAGAAGTAAAGGTGTCAACAGGTGGAGTTGTCTGAGGACAAGACAGAACATATGTTATTAGACCACCTACTAGCGCAGCAGCATATCAAGGATTCTACCTTCTGAAGAACCTGCTAGTATTCCAGTTTTAGTGTGAGTTGATTTCAACTTTAATGTGGCTTTGACAGTTTCAGAGAGTATTTACAGAGCTATGCAGAGCTAATAAAATTGAAATGTCATTTTTGAGTCAAAACTTATTCGATACCTCTGCAAGATTCTGTAATAGGAAATCTTGTAAGATATCTAGGTAAACATAGCCCAAATCAACCAATGGCATTGTTTGGATTCATGGTAAACATTTCAGCATGAAGGATGCTGCTTAACATGGAATGTTTTGCTATGGATTGGGTTAAAGCTATTGAGAGGTTATGAAAGTATTGATACAATCATAGACTTTGTATTTCTCCTTTCTTATTAGGATGAATTCCATAAGTCCTTCACCTCCTGACTTAACCGAAACATAAAAATGCTTTTGTCACGAACCTCCAAGTAGGATCCAGGGGTAATGATTACACATAAGACTGTCCAATGACATGAGATGAATCAAAAAATCCCACAGTTTTCACAGCTCACCTCACCCATCTGTAAAAGTGAGGGGAAAATAGCATCAAACATGGCGGCAAAAAGTCACATTGCCCAACATGAACTCAATGAATGAACAGAAAAATCTTGCCAATAACTTTTTTCTTAATTATTGATTTCCTCCCAATTTTGTACCAATTTTTTAAAATCCAGATGACATCGTTTCAGAGATATACAGTACTTTCATGGCCTACCCAAATAGGTGAAGTGCTTCTCATAGTGTTTGGTGCTACTGTGAATGATGACATTTCCATGAAGTTTGAGAAATTCTTTGGGGGAGAATGAAGGATTCGGACTGAGTCTTCCAGGTCGTTCCATTTCATACCGTGGGGGTTCCAACTGCGCTGGTACCTTGTGTCCTAAGGGAGATTGAAGGAAAAGTCAGGGAATCAATGCAGGCATTTTATGGAATGCACTAGAAACAATGAGAACTGCTTACCAAATGGTGCCTCATCAAATGACACAAATGACCTCGGAAATGGCAGAGCTTGGACATCAGAAACACTCTGATTCAGGGAGTATTTAGATTCTGCTGAATGGATCTCACCTGCAACCATCACAACATGTAACAGCAAAACATGGTTCACCAATACCACCTTCTCATGACAATAGTTACCTTTTTTGTCCTAAGCCCTGCTGAATGATGTAACTGGGGAAGGTAATGCCACTACAAGAGAGAATGATGCATTCAAAGTCTCTTCCCTGTTGCCTTCTGTTGGTCCTCCTTTGCATAGAAATCAAAGTTCAACATCATTTTAAACTTCATCTTCCTATTCTAATCTATCAAATTACTTTTTAAACCCTACAAGCTCCAAATAATGTTACTGTGAGGTCTTTTATGAAGGTGAAGACAAGAAATCTACAACAGTGCAAGGGCAAATAGTGACTAGTGCCACTTTCCAGGTAGAAACAATGGGCTTCCATAACAATTGAACATATTTCATGAGCAAGTCAACTTCCAGTAATGCGAAGGTTACAAGTTCTGCTATGTACAAGAGGCTTTTGAGCATCTTTATGGAAGGATGGGTCTTGTTTCTAATCATGAAACAAGTCGCTTAAAATTCCTTTACCGAGGCCTCACAATAGGCCATATGTGACTTTTTGTAACTGTGACAGGCCTACCAGTTTCTGAAGAGCCTTAGAATGACTTGACAGGGGAGGGAATCGTCATCGTCGTTGATGCTGATGTGTTCCAGGAGTCACCATCGTGATCGGGTCTCTGGCAGGCTTGCAGGAAATCTGCCAATACAAACCGAACGTCACTTCACATCATCATGAAGTAAAGTTATTATGCATCAGGGACCTAAACATCCGGGGAAATGATTACAAGTGGTGCTATGAAACGAAAACGGGAACATTTGCTCAATAATGGTGGAACCCGGATTCAGAATTCAGGAGTTCCAGATAATGCGTGAAACAGACAAAAAATACATGTGAAAACAGGATGAATTGAAGGCTGGGCAGGTTGAACAGTAATGCCCTGTGTTTGCTGATAAAATTTGAGTGAATTTAATCCTCCCTGCCTAATTAGTGCGCTGTATTTAACTTATAAGCGTGTCGATAGGTAGGCAGATCAGTTGCAGAGTTCAATGACTCTCGAGCTACAGTGTTTTTCACCTGAGTTAGACATTTTTTCACTCGACTTCGACAACGGTGCATGGTGAGGGTGATATAGAGGATCGACGCAGAAACTAGGAGTTCCATTCTTAAGTGCAGATGTCGTGACGATGGCCATAACGATAATGATTAATTTCCTGCTGAAGAGAGGAAAATCAATATGAACCTTCCCAAATACACAATATATTGAAATGATAATTTAATGTCGAAGCGAAAAACCAGGCTTTCGTGTCACCCATTACTGTTTTCCTTAATTTTTCAACAAAACAGGTAACGTTTTGGGCATCATTCCTGGGGTCTGAAGTACCATTCCCCACGCCGAACCCACGTAGGCTAGATTAGGCCTATCTAACGTGGATCTGGATTGTCCATTGAAGTACGATCCAGTGTTTCTACATCGTTGAGCCGATGGGAAACTGAAAACTTTGAGCCTTTTTTATTTAAATAGACTGCAAGGAAGGTCTCCCGTTGACAACATGGCTATGCATGCGGTTCATCAGTTCCAGGACATAGTTTGATTCACACGAAAAAGCCTAAATATTCGAAGAAGAGAAAGATGCCGCTAGTCACCAGGGGCACCTGCGCCCTCGCCTCCTCTCTGAATACTCCTCGCATCGGTGTCTTAGTCAATTGAAAAATTGCCTAAATGAAGTGAAAAACACTGTAATTGGAAGTCTTGGATAGAGATGAGCAGGCCGGCCCGCGGCCTGCGGGCAGCCCACCAGTCGACTGGGCTCGGGACTCCATGGAGAGGTCCGTGCGGGTCCGCTTATGCAAAAACACCCATCGCGGTGGGGCCCCTATCCTGCCCTCCAACCGATATGAGAGCCCTCTTCTCAAAAGAGAAGGAAGCGCGGTCATCCCAGGCAGTAACAGGCTCGCATCAACATTAGGGATGGCATTGGGAAGGAGACAGAAGGCAAGCGGGAATTGAATAAGTCTCTTCTCTCTGTTAAGTTCTTGTAAGAGATCCTAACACCAATCCTTCTCATTCAAGACTTTTTTTCTGCCGTACTTAGTAATCCTTTCATAAGAGAACAAGAATCTTTACGAAGAAGAGTCCGCTTGCGGGAATGGATCAGGGCTAGAAGGCTTCATACATGATGGCCGCAAGGGACCAGTCAAAGTCGCTATAACGCTGTACGCGATTCGATTGGTTGGACGGCGGAAAAGGGGCCCCATCGAGCTATGGGTTTGTACATGAGCGGCCAGGCCAGGACCGTCCACATGAAATAATTCATTTCATTTCTCAGCTTTACTTCCACGGGATGGAGGGGGGCGGGCCACAAGGCCCGCGGGTCGACTCAGTGGAGAAGTCTCGCAAGTCAGATCCGGACTCTGGCCTGTATTTGTTTCTTCTCCTCTCAACCTCGTAGGTGAAGAGGACTAAAATACTCAAAATCCACTTCCTTCATTGCACATGGAAGCGCCCTAGGAGCCATTAAATTGAATCAGTGGTACCTGCCTCAATTCTTCGACTCGGCGGGAAAAAGTTACTAAAATTATTTTGTGGGCCGGAATCGGACTCGACTAGAGGAGAAAGAACATAAATCAAACCGGTGCAGGGTGGGGCTGATGGAATCGGAAAAGGTCGGGCTAAGGCCACAAGTGGAGTAACGCCAGTTCGGTCATTGAAATTGAAATAATTGAAAAAGCATGGTACCAAGAAAACATCCTCATCCTGCAACGAAATATTGCAGGAGGAGCGCCTTTGAAGCGTCATCCCAAGCAACCATTCGAGAATAATTGGCATGCCTAAAAATTCAAAACTTACATAAGTAAGATAGAACAGAATAAGAGGCATCCATGATGAGAAACGACAAGGGAAGATGTTTTCCCATCAATTCACTGCTGGCCCCGTCTCGAATCTTAGAGTACTAAAAAAAACTGCACTATAAAGGCATATCTTCAAGAGGATATATGCAATGCAATTGTAAGAAGCAACCAGAAGTGGAATATGTGAAGAAATAAACTTTAAACGTTACTTTCATCCCAGGTAGCCAAATCGATAAGGGCCAGTTATGGCCCTAATACGGGATACTTGGCGAATCTCTCGCATTGCATCCACATTTGGGCCATTCATGGGAAAAGTGTGGCAACCCGAAGTACATCACTACGTCTGGCAGCCTCGTGCCTCCCGCTCAAGGGCCATACTCCTGAGGCCATAATGTGGGCAACCCATATTAGGGCCATGGAAATTTGCCACAGTGAAACCTGATTGAAAATAAAATTTTTACCTCATATTCACCTGAGAAGAGCGAAGATGAATTGTCTTAAAAAAGTAAAGCTACTTTCCGAAATTCCACAACACCTTTTTTGTTTTTGGCATCGGGAAGATTAATTTTCCATAGACTGTCTCGTCAGGAGTCGTCTCATCTCCTCTTCCTGCAGCTACAACAACCAGCACTTCCAAACTGCTTCGACCGCTGAATGGAACACGTCTCGTTTGACTTTAAAACGGAGACGATCTGAACTCAAAAACTTCATGTATTTACACATTCCTGTGGAATTTACGAAATTTGGAGCAATGCAATTTTTTGGCGGTGCAGGAGGGGTGAAACGATGAATACAATATTTTGCCCGAGAGCGGGAGTATTTTTGTAAACATTTAGGTCACGATTGGCTCGCTCTTCCCCGTTCTCGCCGTCCTCCTGCCGGGCGCATTTGTTTGCTTCCAGAATCAATAGGTGGCGTTGTAAATAACGGATACTGTTCCCGGTTTGAATTCGTACCTTGCTATAGGAGCGCTTCTATGATTACAGGTAGTGACATCTTGCACAGATGGTCACGTCGATCACCTGATGAAGCAGAACCAATGGAAATGAGTTTTCTCCGTTGTCCACAATACGAGGGTGATGCGAATTCAATCTAAATACAGTAACTTATACGTAGTGGTGGTTATGAATGCGTGTGATTCTGGGCTGTATCAGCTTAGCCCTAAGTCTTGTGCAAGTAGTCATGAAGTTTCAGAGTGCCTACGTACGTCAATTTTGTATGTAGGTAACGACTGTATGCATTAGGTCTCTTATATGAATAAACCCATGCTTTATTCCTCAGATAGTTCTTCCAGAGGTAAAGTGCTTACTTTGAACCAGAGCTCTCTGGATTTCAGCTCCAACTTCTTGACGTTGCACAACATGGGCTCAAATGAATTCAAAATATACCTTACGACAATCTGCCAATTGCGTCTAGGATACAGAGAACGATTTAAATCAGGTATTGAAGGGGTAGAAAGGGAAAGGCGAGTCTTTCGTACCACCGTGTCTTGGCATGCCTATAGTGAATTACGTTTTTCTAATTTTTTTTCCCAAGAAATTAAGCACTGTGTCAAGATAACCCAAACCTGTTAACAGGCTGCAAGGCTTACAAGTTGGCTGCATTGGCATCATTTGACTTGGACTTATCGTCGGGACTTATTGATGTGAATGAATAGTTTTTTTTTCAAGTTACATTAATATTCAGCGTCTCAATTGATGCAGTTGTTCTGTGTGTACCAAACCCACATCAGGAAGAGGGAAGCAGAAGACATATAGAGAGAGGGGAAGACAACAATACATTGGGAAGTGGTAAGAACAAACATGTTCATAAGGGAAAAGGTATGAATAAAACATACATAGGGAAGTGAGAATGATCACATGTATTTGGGAAAGTGGGAAAATGAAACAAATCAATGGATGTGCACAGAGGATAGAAAATAAAGTAAAAACATGTGAAAAATAATTAAAATGTAAATAAATGATGGGACTTCAGACATTGGTAGAGCTTTTACCACAGGCTTCATACTATCAAAGCTACAAGAGTTTTCAAAAGTGGTATCCAGTGCATAACCGTTTAATTTGGAACATTTAATTCACAATTTTTTGACAGTGAGTGGTGCAGAGAGCTTTTGGCTTGATGCTCTCTCTCACAAGGTGACGCATATTTACAATTATCCTCTCAGATGCAAAGGAAATGTACAATAGTCCTATCTGCATTGAGATTCAAATTTGGTTGACTTTATCTTCCAAATGGTATGAGTCAGCTTTAAGTGAGGTAGGGTTAAGCATAATATACAAATTGATAGACTAACTCTTGATATAAAACATGTTGGCTTAGCCTTATATGCTGACCAGAGGGAATAGCTTCTCCATTAGAAGTAAGGCCTAATTTAAGTCGATGAGCACTGATGAAATTCATAATTGAGTTTGTTAGAACAATGACAATAGAGATGAATACAGGACAGGATGATGAGTCTTGGCCAAGACCTGCATGTCCTGCAGAGAAGAGTGTGGGAGTAAGGCAAAAGTACAAACATATCAGAAAATATATATTAATAGATGAAGAAGCCAGGAAGATCTTCTGATTGAGAGTCAAATAAGTTCTACACAGAACTCTGCAGATGCAGAAGAGAAAAATTCATTCAGGCTCTGTCTGCATGAAACTAGGCCTGCAAACGCACACGGAGTTTCAAATCTGGTCCCCTTTGAAAGGGATGAGTTGAACAGGCATGATGATGACATTGGAAATAACTTTCCAGCTTGCTCTAGAAAATATGGAAGAACCTTTGCTGCAGGGGACAATGATGTAGTTTGTATTTCTGGCCCTGGGCCTACTTACCATTACCGACCACCGACCACTACGATTACCGACCATTGTGACATTTCATGTATGGCCCTAATCTGGCTTCCACACTTGGCCCAAATCATTTTGCCAAGCATTTGCCTTAACTGGCCCATTCATGGTTGGCTACCTGGGATACTACCTTGACTCTTCACACATTAATTCGTCTGAAAATAGAAAAACGGGAATTAAGCAGGCATGTGAAGCGGTATTGGGGGTGGAAAGAGATTGGAGGAGGAAGAGGAAAAAAAAAGAAACTGCGATGAGAAAGAGAAACAAACCCTATGCGAAAAACCGGCTCAGAACGTTCCACACTCTCATAAGGAGAAGATTGAGTGGAGGTATGGGGATGGAATCTCCTTTTCCCCCTCCCTAGCCCGCCCTCATAGGCCCACATCCTGTGACGTAGCCACCGAGACAGCATTGCTTCTCCTCTAGACCTCTTTTTCAGATCCGGACATCGCAGCAAGGTATATCGATAGATTTATCTATATTCCCTGCATGCCAGTGCTGATCTCGTCCAAATTTCACTTCATTCAACATAGAGATTTTAGCTTGTTTCAGACGAGACAATTTTTAGAGGCCTTTCGCTAAAAAAAAGGAGAGAAGCGCGTGGAACGGGAAGTGAACACAAGCGAGAAAGCAATCAAGAATGGAATTATCCAGAACTGCACAATCCTTTCATCTATTTTGTCCCCCTGTTTTAACACTGGAAGGTTCCACGGGATTCCCTGGGAGTGCCACGCATGTGTCTCTATTAGGAATACTTTGTAGGTTCTTAAGCAGCTCACTACTGGATGCCGTCCCGTCTCCGTCCCAAATGAACTATTCCGTGTGAAACAGGGACCTACACAGATGCTTGCCCCCCTTTCTTCAGGTGTATGGTAGGAACATCTGTTTAGCATGTGACTAGGAAGTACTTACGCCCTTCCATCATATTTACTGGTATTTGTGATACGGATTTTTTGTCTCTCTCAATTTGAAA